TGCATCACAGACCTCTTAAGCTCAGTCTCGCAGTGGGTCTTAAATCCTGCAAGTGGTCCCCCTGGCCCTGGGGTGCGCCGAGGCTGTAGGAAGGGCCTGCTTTCTCCTCGGCCTGTCCAGCCAACTGAGACCTGCATCCCGTGCCCACCTACCCACCGTCAGGCGTTGTCATTCCAGCAGGGACTCAGGCCTGAGACTGGCCAGCACACCGGTAGACCGCTCATGTTTCTACCTGGCCTGGCTGTGACCCAAGGCTCCTAGAACACAGCTCCTGTTCCTCACAGCCAGCCCCCAAGGTGGCCTGTTTCTTCCCAAAAAGCAGCTAAAGGCACCTCCAGCCAGCTCTCTGCGCAGCAGGGCTTTCTGGGCCTTCGGAGGGCGGGTCAGGTGACCACTGCCGTGGGGCTAGAGCAGCCACGGCTGAGACCCGCCTTCACAACGGCTGGGTGCAGAAATTACAGCTTCCTGGTGGCGATCGGCCCCACTTTGCATGGCAACACAACGTGTTCCTAATGACCGAATTGTTTATTTAACAAAGAAATCACAACCATTTGGAGGTTTAAATACAGCCTCTCAGAAACCCAGTGAGCTCAGCTCCTGGTGGCTGCGTGGTGCTGGCACCCGCCCAGTCTCTGCACCGCACGAAGCCTTTAGCAATGGATTGAAAAAAAAATCTCTTGCAAGATCTCTTGAGATTCACTAACCCTGCTGTATTTTCTTGAGTCTGTGCTTGGTGTTGAATAGAAGACATTGGTTGTGTGAACAGCAGAAACAACTCGCAGGCTCTGAATCCAACGGGGACGGTCAAAGGCTGCAGGCAGGGCAAATAGGAGGGGACCCCCTTTTCCCTGTCTCCTGGGTTCCCCTTTGTCCTGGAGCCCCAGGGAATAGCAAGGATGGATCCCAGGGGTGGTTCTTGGGGACTGAAATGCAGATTGTCCCAGTTTAGATCCTTTTAGCTGAAAACAGCATTCAGAGCCAGCAAGCCCCTACGACTTTCCAGCAAAGCTGCCCTTTTCCTGCCTTTTTTGGGCAGTGAGGGCTGTGCTACTTAGGCTTTGTGAAAACCGGGGCCCTGCCTTGCTGGAGAGTTCCTTGGCCAGAAGCCATATTCCTTAAGTTGCCTGAAGACTCCATCCTTACCGCATGCCCCGCCCAGAGCTCAGGCCACCAGTAAAGACTGGGAGACAAAGCACAGTGTACAAGAGTTTATTTAATGATATCTGAATTTAGTTCTATCATGTGGAGCCCACATTACAAGTTAGCCTGTGCAACAAAGAGAGACTCTGTCAAAAAAAAAAAAAAAAAAAAAAAAAGGAAAGAAACTTAAAAAAAAAAAGAAAATCCACAACTTTTTCCATGTCATTAAATATATTCATATATAATAACCATAATATATTAGTATGCATTGGAAAGAACACTGACCCAAACAGTATGTCATGGTCACAACTAAACATTTACAATTCTGAGTGAACAGAAATCCAAAACACAGGAGGGCACCGAGGGAGGCTGGGACGCGTAGGGGGGGAGTCCAATAGCACAGGAGTGGTGGGGCTGGCTTGGTTCTTGGCAGGGGCGAGGCCCCACGTGTATGCGTTTTGATACCCCTGGGGTGTGCCATGGCCGTGGCCCACAGGAATGTCTGTAGTTTGTCTACTCTCTGGGCTTCAGGGGGGCTCCTCTGAGTGTTGAGAGCCTACATGTTTTTTGGTTTCCTAAAGGAACCATTCTAATGCCTTAGAGTCTCTCCTTGATTCCAGTCTCATTCCAATCTGGGACAACTCCAAGAAAGTCTGTACCCATTTCCTGCATGCTGTGACTGAGGCAGAGTTCTAGGAGGTCACTAAGGGCCTTGGGGAAGCTCTTGACCTCCCTGGGCTTTGACCCCAGGTGTCCCTCCCTTCTGCCTCCCGCCCTGCTTTCTAAGTACAGAAGCTGTGGACAGAGACCACAGCCTGCAGGTGAGTCCAGGGAGCAGCCCCATGTCCTTCCCCCTTCCCTCCGCCCCAGATCTTCAGCGTGACCATGTCAGCACGGCAGGCATTCAGCTGTCAAGGACACCAGACCACCCAGCTGGTAAGAAAAAGGACATCTGGGGAACCTGTTTCAAAAACAAAGACTAATCTGGTATGTGTTTCTTTAAAACACCTACATATCACAAATCTGGTTAATACACTCTTCAAAATCAAAATCTAGTTCCGTTTTACATCCCTTCCTAACTGTACAAACCGGAACACCTCAATTCCTATTTCCATCTCCTCCCTGGGGTGGGGGACAGGGTGGAAGAGGGGTGCTTTCCCAAGGATGGGGCCTCCCCGCTGAGGTTGGTGGCTGCACTCAGGGTGCTGTGCTGGGCTCTGGCCCATGAGCTGAGCAAGGCAGCCTGTGATGACTGCAATCCCAGCAGTGACCTCGTCCTCATCCTGGCAGATCTGGCCACACTGATATATTCCCCAAGGGCCAGGCCACTGGGAGGACAGCTTTTGCCCTTGGGGTGCTGAGCTGGAGGGAGAGGCTGGAGACTGGGTGAATTTTCAGCAAGATGCCTTGTTGCCTGGCAGGCCACCGGCTCTGACACCAGCAGTGCAAGCCCCTCACCAGACACAGGGTGAGACCTAGACCCAAGGTGGGATGGCCGGGCTGCCACCGCCCTCCTGGGCAGGGTGGAGAAGCCACACTGGAATAGACAGCAAGAGTACAAATGCCTGGCAGTACCTTTTGATGCTAGCAGCACTCAGCAGACCACGCTGGGCACCAGAGATGGGCTGACAGCTTGGAAAGAGGCCCCTGCCCTCAACCTTGGGCTTAGATTCAGGAACGCCAAACACCCCTTCCCAGGGCAGTTGTCTTCTCCCTGCCCCTGAGGTGCCTCTGCCAGTCTCTCCTGGAATCCTTCCAACCACCCCCAGGCAGCCCAAACTGCCGTTCTGCCACCTCTTAGGAAGAACCAAAGCGTGCCTCCCTGGAACCTCTAGCAAGTCCCTGCCTGCCTCACCCACCACTCTCGTTGCCACCTCTGGAGATACTACTGTGCCTGGCCCCCAGCCTCGACTCCTGTTCTCCAGGCTCGATGCCAGGGTCTCGGGCAACTCCCCGGGGAGCACGCCCTCCCAGCCTGCTGCAGGGGGGCCACAGAGCTTGACTGCAGCAAGAGGCAGTGCGTTCTGTGCTGAGGGCCTGGCCCTGGACCCGGAGCGCCAGTCCTGCTGCTTATTTGTGGCATGACCTTGGGGACGTGCACTCTAGTTTCCTCGCTGGTGAAAATGGTAAAAATCCCTGTCCCACGGGGTGGTCATGAGGACAAGCTGGGAGCGTGTGGGTGAAGTGCCTGGCACGGAGCGGGTGCTCGGCAAATGGCAGCGTGGCTCAGGCAGAAGTGACGGAAGCAGAAGGAAGCCGGACCACCGAGGGGCGAGCTTCATACTTCTTGGTATGACCCTTCTAAGCAGCCAAACTCTGGCCGGGAAAGTAAAACCAATTTCCTGACAGAGGGGAGCCAGGCCTCTAATTCAGTGTGCCGGGTGTGAGGACTCGGGCCAGAGGCCCCTGGGCAGTGCAGAGAGCTCGGGAGGGCAGGGAGCCAAGAGGCTCCAGGGCACAGGAATGGGTTCCCTGTGAGGCAGTGAGACCAAAAGGGGCTGCCTGCTTGAGGACAGTGTCTCCAGGAGGCTCTGGGAGGAGGGCTGGGCACGCCAGACGGCACGGGCAGCCTCTGCAAAGCAGCCAGCCAGAAAGGTGCACAAGGTGCTGCCCAGGCCAGACCAAGACAGCTGCAGGGGCAGCCGCAGAGATAGGGTGGCAGTAGCAGGCTGTCTTGGCGCAGCAACTTCTGTCCCTTCCCTGGGGGAGCCAAGAGTAGGGGCAGCAGCAGGAAGTGGTCATGGCTTCCCTGGCCCCCAGGAGCCTGGTCATTCCTGCCCCTGCCTGCTCATGGCTTGGGCACCCTGGCACTTTGCTGAGCCTGCAAACCCTGTCCCGAGTCAAGCAAGCCCCTTCCCCACGCCAGGCCCAGCTGCCTTCGCAGCCTGCATATTCCATGCCCGGCCAGGCCCTTTCCAGCTGTTGACATTGCTGAGGGCCCTTGTGGGAGCTGATGTCATTACACAAATAGTGTCACTGCCGTAAACCCAGCCAGTGCCCCTTCCCCCTCCCCTGGAAAATATCATAAAAGGGGCTGGTTCCAAGTTTCCAAAAAGGAAACTCTCTGGGAGGTTTTGCCTTTGCAATGCCTCCTCCAACAGGCAGCTCCAGCATGAGGCGGTGACCACCCGGCTCGGGCTTCTCAGGGGTGTCCTTGGGCCCACTGCCCTCTGGATGGGCAGGGACTTCCTCTCCTCTATAGACGGTGAACCCCCCAACCCACGACCCTGCCCGGGAGGAGCAACTCAGCAGGTGGCAGTGGAGGCCAGAGGCCGCATGGAGAATGCTGGCTGGACGGGCTGCTGCCGCCTCCCCCAAGTGCCTGCCCGGCCCTTCAGATGGGGCCCAGGTTGTCCCAGCCAGGCGTGCCGTGGGAATTCCCAGAGAGAAGGGGTCGGGAGAGAGGAGGGATTTCTGTCTTTTGTGCTGGGGTGGTGGCTTGGTCGGGCTTGCCCGGCACCCCGCCCAGGCTGCGGGCCTGAGAATTCACAGTTCTCCTCACGTCCCCTTCTCCGAAACCGTCCACCAGCCGTGTCTGGGGCCCCATCTGCGCGGCTCTGTGCCCGCCCCCGGGCCCCAGGGCAGGCTGCCCCCAGCCCCTCTGCGGCTACCCCGCCTAGCCCCAGGGAAGCGCGACTCCGCTCTGGAAGGAGCCCGTGAGGTAGCTACGTCTCGTCCTCATTTCTCCAGGGCCCGGCCTGCTGCGCACCCCGCCCCGCGCGCACGCGCAGCTCCGGCCAGGGCGCGCGGGGAGGGGCTGGGGGCGGGGCCGCCGAGGGCCCCGCCCCGCGCCGGCTGCGGTCCCGCCCCCACCCTCCCCCCAACTTGGGAAAGCCCTTGCGGGCCAAGTCCGCGGCGGCTGCGGCTGGGGCCTCCCGCTCGCGCTCGGCCCTGGCGCCCAGCCCGCCCGGCGCATGCTGCGTCCGCGCTAGGCCTTCTTGCACTTGCCCTTCTTCTCCCGCTGCTGGAACTTGCGCAGCCGCCGCGCCCACGTGTCCCGCCACTGGATCACCAGGCTGCTCTTGTCGGCCACGATGCCACTCTGGTCGGGAGAGTCCTCGGCGTTGCCCAGCAGCAAGTACTTCTTGAGGGGCTTGATTTTGGGGCACTTGCAGGCGATGTCCCGTGATCGGATCCACAGGCTCTGGTCACCGCGGCGGATGCGGCTCGTGCCCTGCTTGTACACGGAGATGATGTTCACCGTGAACTTCCACCAGTCCCCCGCCTTGTCCGCCTTCAGGATGTGGATCTGGACGGCTACAAGAAAGCACAGGCAGACGGATGGGCCACAGGCCGGGGATGCAGCGTGGGTCCCCAGCTCCTGGGGTCAGGTCGGCCCTGCCCGCACCTCCGTCTCCGTCTCCGTCTCCGAGGGCCCAGGGAGAAGGACAAGGAGACCCATCACTGGGAAGTGACTGTGGACGGTACCGCACAGGGGAACGGGTGGGTGGTGGCAAAGCAGTTCCTGGAATCCCACCTGCTAGTACCTGTGCCAAGGCCGCTGCTCCAAGAAGCCTTATTTCTTGCCTATTTTGAAGGTGCTACCCAGCGCTGCCTTTGGGGACAGTCCCCTTCTTGGCCGTTCCCAAGGCCCACTACGGTCCAGGAAAGCCAGAGGAAGCTACAGGTACTGATCACGGCCCCAGCACTCTGGTCCAGGGCCATCTGCCCAGGGCTGGTGCCCTCAGTGACAGCAGTGCTGGCCACTCCACACCGGCTGGAGGCAGGGTCTCCTCAGGTGCCTGCATCCCCAAAGGCCCCGATGAACACCAGGCCTCATGACACGCCAGACACCGCTTTGCCTTCGACCCAGTCTCAGGAAACCATAATGGGGCCTCAGTGCTCAGGGGCAGAAGATAAGAACCTGTACTTCAAGCTGGCCATGTGCCTTTTCCAGAGTGCTGGGTCCTCACACTGCCTGCCCCCCACGCCCAAACTGTCCCTGCCAGGCGGCTCCCTTCGTCTGTGCCTCTCAAGTTCCCCAGGCCATTCCTGTTCCCCAGGCCATTCCTCTTCCTTCCAATTCTCTGCCAGTATTTTCCGTAGTGTAAGGGTTCGCATATTGGAGTGGGCATCAGAATCCCCTGAGGGACTTGTGAAGTCACACTCTGCCAGGCCTCACCCCAGAGTTTCTGATTCAACAGATCTGGGTGGAGCCCCAGAAAGTGCACTTCTCACAAATCCCCAGGTGGTACCGATGCTGCGATCCCGAGCACACGCTTTGAGAATCGGCACCCTAGAGAATGTTAACATGTTATTTCTGCAAGACAGTAAGAAGTGATTTTAAAAAAGGAAATTCCTTAAAAAAAAAAAAAAAGGAAACTTTGGTCTAATAAGTTCATGAAATATTAATACTAGATTAAACAAAGTCAAGGGGTTTCTCGCTGCAGGACTTTTCAGAACCTTTAATCAATGAATTGTATGCATATATTGGTTTCCCAAACAACCCTGGCTGCAAAACTCTTTGGTTAGTACATCTCAGGCCATCAGTACAGGGTGCCTTACTTGGGGACCTGCTAAGGGCAACAGGATCATTTCCCCCAGTCCAGGTGGTACCTGGAGAAACCTGTGCCGTGCTCACTTCTACTCAAGGGAAACTCAGCCGTCTTTCCCATCCCCACAGTCAAAGAGAGTCTCTTCCCCTTGCGGAGCCACCTGCCACGCCCTATACCCCTTACCCCACTGAGCCAGCCCTGGACTGGGCCACTGAGTAGACTTGAGCCCTCCTGAGAAAGGGAAGCAGCCTGAAGACACTGAGACACAGGTAGGTTCTGTGGCTACAGCAGCAACAAGGACACATCCCCTGGGAGCGCTCAGCGGTCATCAAAAACCTCCCCACCACTTTCCACTCCAGGAATGGGTCCACCCCCGGCTCAGCCTGCCCTCCCATGCTGGCCGGCTTCTCTCAAGGTCTCTGGGGGCCGCTCTGCTCTTTCACTCCCAGGGGAGCCCCCTACTCTTCTCCTGTGCTCAGGGCTGTGGGGAGGGGCAGGGACAGCTGGACCCAGGGGCATCCATTGCCACCCAACTCATCCTTCTCGGGCGAGGGAAGTGGTGGATTTTCCCATATTTTCATTTCAGCTGTTCATGGGCATCCTGAACTTTGCACTCCAGTCTGAGGACTCCAAAGAATGGCTGCCATGGCAACCGTTTCCATGTTTTTGTCACCAAGGGACTCAACACTCAGTGTGAACTCTGGGGTGGGGGGAGCCCTCCAGCCCAGAGAAGTGGCTGGGCCATGTGTATTTGACTGTGCAGACGGAGGTCACCGTGGCAACTGAGTGCCCCTTAGCTAAGCAATGGGGAGCCACCCCCAGCGTCCCTGAGAGCCCCGGTTTCCTCTCCCCGGGGCTGAGCTGAATACAGAATGAGCCTCCCTGTGGCTGCTTCTCTGTGCGGCACCCCAGGCCTGTGGCGCAGCAACAGCATGCTCCAGCTGCCTGGGCTGGCCCAAGGGTGCTGCAGAGGGCACCTCTGGCGGGGACCCCTGGAGAACAAGGCTCTGAACCTGCCCTGAGCATCTACTGGTGCCATGGGCTGAAGGGTGTCCCCACAAACTCACATGCTGAAGCCCTAACCCCCTGCACTTCAGAGCGTGATTTCCTTTGGACACAGGGTCTTTACAAAGGCGATTAAGAGGAGGTCATTAGGGGAGCCCAAATCCAAAATGACTGGTATCCTCACAAGAGGAGGAGATGAAGACACAGATGCACAGAGAGATGACCACGTGAGGACAGAGCGGGAAGGCAGCCACCCACAAGCCAGGGGAGAGGACACAGAAGGAACCAGCCCTGCCACACCTTGATCTCAGACTTCCTGTCTCCAGAATTGTGAGAAATAAATTCCTGTTCTTTAAGTCCCCGAGTTTGTGGTGCTCTGTCCTGGCAGCCCCAGAAATTAACACAGTAATCTCAGGGGCCCCAAGCATCTGGGGCCTAGACTTGGTCCAGGAAGGAGGGCGGACCTGGCAGGGGCTCCCAGCGTTGCTGAGAAGAAGCCAGAGAGATGCTTGGCTGAACAACGTCTAGCCTGGGACTGCCCCCACCCCAGGGGACCTTGCCACTCCCTGGGGTCCTGCAAGAGCATGGCCCTTCATCATAGAAGGGGCTGGTGACCTCTGCCCTATCCTCCCTGACCTCTTGGCATCCCCCTCCCATTAGTGAGTGCCCTGGAAAACCAGCCAGCACACCCAAGGTGGCCACCTGCCCCAGCACTTCCCCAGGCACAGGCCTGAGGGGAGAAGCCCTGAAGGGTGCCCTCCCCTGAACACCCTGCTGTCTTCAAGAATCCAGAGGGACAAAGCAATGGGCACTGGTCAATCAGGACAAAGCAACTGGCCCTTGTCCTCCTTCCACCCGGAGAAGACCCCAGCACTCCTGGGTGGGACGGCACAGGCCCGGGGAGGGGAGGGGGTGGTAGGATTCATGTGACTGTGCTGGAGAAGAGCCACGTTTCCGCTGCCCTTGGCAACGCCTCTGCGCATTACACAGCCCACCAAGTATGAGCTGCCAAGTCCCCGCAGCGCACATACCGCTGAGAATATTCAAAATACACGTTGCAACAGTGACCTCAAACAGACCTGCCCTGTGCCCTCTGGGAGCACGCTCATCGGCAGCCACATGGCACACCGCCAGGGCTGCTGTCACCTCTGACCAGACTGGGGTCCTCTGGGCTATGTGGAGCCCAGGGCCCTCCGACCCAAGACGTCCCTATGATGTCGCCCAACCAAAGGGCTGGGCACGGTGGGCTATGGGCAGCTCTGCCCCATCCTAGGACCGCAGCCCCAAAGCTTGGCCCCTTATACCTGCCATGGTCTCAACGTTGGTGTCCCCCAAATACATATATTGGAACCTACCACACAATATTAGAATGTTAAGAGGTAGGGCCTTTGGGGAGTGACTGAGTCATGGGGATGCCACCCTCACGAATGTAATCAGTGTCCTTACAAAGCTGGCTCCCTCTCGATCCGACACGTGAGGACAGAGAGCGGCCCTCACCAGACGCCAAGTCTGCTGGCACCTTGATCTTGGGCTTCCCAGCCCTAAGAACTGTGAACGATACATTTCTGTCTGTTTATCACCCAGTCTGAGGTATTTTGTGATAGCAGCCCAAACTAGGACACACCCATACAATGAAACTCACCCCCAGCCAATTAGCCTCAGCCCTTGGGATGCCTAAACCCCACTGTCCTCGCACTGATGTCCCAAAAGTTGTCCTCAACAAGGCCAGAACGTGGGGATCTGGTGAGGACCCCCTCCCCATGTTCGGAAATCAGGGACATGAGATTACTCTCAGAACGGCAGATGGTGAAGTCAGACCAGGTAGATGAGAGCCGCGCTAGGACCCCTTAAATGAGAGACTAGGTTTACAGGAAGAGGGTCACCCCACCTCAATCCCAAACGGCCGTTCTCCGAGGCGGGGACAAGGGAGGCTGTGAGGTGGGCATGGCAGGGCCCCCAGCCCTGGCTGGGGAGGGGAGCCGGCCCCCGCCTGCTGGTGCTGCTGGCCCCACTGTGAGCGATGAGTGGCTCCATCTCGGGGTCCACGCGGCACATGCATCCTCCGGTCGTCTGGGCTCTTGCTCCCTCCACAAAGAGCCTGGCTCAGGACGCCGCGGGGGAGCAGATGTGTCTGTCCCGCGGGAACCGGAACCCTCGAGGCTGGAGGGGTTAGGCTGAGAGCAAGGCCCCCGTGCCCGGGTGCACCAGGGGGAGGAGGAGGCAGGTCTGCACACGGGGCAGAGGCCCAAGGATGCGCAGGGAGAGAGAGTGCAGCTCCAGAGACGCTAGGAGCTGGCCTCGCCTGGCCGCATCCCGGGGTCTAGCTGGATTTGTCCCTTGGCCTTGCAGGGGACAAATGAGCTGTCCCACATCTGTGCACTAAACCCAAGCCCTCCCTCTCCTGCAGCGGCCGCAGAACCCCTTAACAAGACTACAGGCAGGGTCGGGCAGCAGTCGCCCCCCTCGCCCATTCTGGGGTTCGCAGGAAGTTATTTCACGCAAAGAGCTCTCAGCCACCAGGGCAGACGATCCATGAGGACTGACTTCCCTTGTCCTAACCTGTCGTCCTGGCTGCCAGGGGCACGCACCCCACTCCACCCCTCAGCAGAGGCCGGCGCGGGGCTCGGGAGGGCTGGGCACGGCCGGGAGGGGGTGAGGAGGAGGCTGAGCGCTGGGGCCGTGGGGGCCAGAGTCAGCGAGGGCAGCCTGTGCCAGTGGGAGGCTGGTTCTGGCCGAGGGTGCGGGGGGCTAAGAGGC